ATTGCCCCAGGCTCGCCGAACCAGGTGCTGAGGGCCTAGAAGCTGGGTCGGGTGCGGGCCTAGAGAACTTCCTGGAGTGACCCTGGAGCACAGCCGGTTAGAAGTTTTGAATTAGAGTCATGCTTGGCCTGGGTTCGCGTCCCCTCCCCTTCTCACCTGTGACTTTTAGTCCTGAAATCATCTGCTTCCTCATCGGATAACTGGCCCCATAGCAGGGCTGACTTATCAGACACAGGGTCTAGGGCCCACAAAAATGTTTTAATTTCTTTTAAATCAGAAGAACAATAACTATTATGACAATGAATCCAGCCTGGATTACATTAGTATATGTATAATTGGTATAAAGAATGAATGCAGTATAATATGTAATTTTTAATATTTCTCTATGAAAGAAGAGCCCATGAAGGCCAAAGTACTTAGAGCCCACAAATGCAGCCCTAGAAAAGAGGAGCTTGCACACAGTAGGTGCTTACTTCCTGTGGTAGCTGCTGAGAATAACGGAGATGATGCTTTTTAAGCCCATAGCATGGTTCTCAACACATAGTAGGAGGTCCAAAAGCAAGAGCCTCCAGACTTCATGGAAAGTTTTGAACAAAGATGTTAACACCCTCTGTTCTAGATGCTGTAAGGACATCAGAGACAAGAGCACTGGGTACTGATAATAGGATGATTTCCGGAGGGCTCCCCAGGAAGGCACTGTGCTTTCATTCATTCCTTCTTTCATTCCTTTGTGCACTGTTTATTTACCTGTGCCTGACTCTATGCTACTTTTGGAGCGCATTGGTGAACAAATTGGACATGGTCCTTACCCCGAGGGAAGCTACATTCTACCCAGGGAGCTGAATGAGGGGAAAAAATAAAATAATGACAGAGGATGACAAGTGCTAGTGTTCTGTGATAATAGAAGAGAATGACTTCGGGCGACCGGAGAAAGCTTCTCTGAGTCATATGCCAAAAGGAGTCAAGCAAGCTATGACCGGGAGAGAACACTGTAGGAGAGCAGAGCTGCTTGCCATGTGTCTTTGGAACACAAAGGCCATTGAGAGTGGCACCAGGCAGGCCAGGGAGAAGCCCAGATGAAGCAGAGGAGACAGGCAGGGCCAGATCCCGGTAGGGAGTTAGGTTTTCAACTGAGGGCTATTAGGAAGGATTTAGACCCCTTAGCATGGAGCTTGCACACAGTAGGTGCTCAGTAAGTATTAGTTACTATGACGAGGAGGAAACATTTGAGGGTTTTTTTGGTTTGCTTGCTTTGAGGGAGTGACAGATCGTATCTGGGTTTTTGGTGCTGTGTTCCCATAGCTGAGGGGGGAGCCCTTATGTTGGGGAACTTGGAGGTGGGAATGCAAAATGGGAGGCCTCAGTGGGAGTTAACGGGTTAAGAAGGGGTTCAGTCCAGAGAATATAGCAGCCTTGGGAGGGGGGTGGGGAGTGGCTATTGAGTGGGCCAGGAAGATACTGAGACTTGCAGCCTGTGTGCCCGGGATGGAAGAAGTCAGGTTTCTGCAAGGGACCATCCTGAATTCAGATAGGGACTCGCAGAATTGGAGGTGCCATCGGAACCCCTCTGCGGAGATGTCATGCAGGTGGCTGGAGGTGGAAGTCTGACTCTAGCTGCTAGTCACAAAATGAAATCTATTAAGTTAATGAATGAATGCCCTGCTGATGGCTTGTTGCAGGGTTCATTTCCATGTGCTTTCTGAAGTGCTGCAAAGAATGGATGGCTGTTAAACTCCTACCTTCTCTCCTCTTGGATTTCCTTTTATAAAATAGTGCCTGAATTGAAAGCAGGCAAATTAATACATGTATAAGCAATTGCTCATATAGAAGCAGGGCTTATGTAACTCACCTCTCCCTCAATCAAAAGGTTACTCATTAAATGGATGAACAAACAACCCCTAATGAAAGCATTATCTTCGGTCTGTAAGTCGAAATGATTTAGCATATTGGGTCTATAGGTCTTGCCTCCTGAGATATGATTGACTTGTTTTTTAAAAGCCTTTCTAAAATGTCCAAATTAGCTTTCATTGCTTAAAATAAATACTCTAAAAACATTTCAAGATGATTTCCCGTTTAAGAAAAATTCTGGTGGAAATTTCCATGGAAATGAAGAGTTGGTTTCACTTCATCCATTCGAGGAACATTTGGAGAACACCTCGGTGTCATGTGCTGGGATGTAGCTGTAAACCATCGACACAGTTTAGTGCTGATGTCGGAAAAAATAAATGCTGTCTCTTATGATAGGGAAAGTGCAGAGGTTCGGGGGCTTGAGCTCATGGAGCGGCCAAGGAATATCTCTCTAGGGAAATGATATTGAAGCGGAGACTTCAGGCTTGAACATGGAGTCCTAGGAGAATAGGGCAGCACAAAGAAAATAAAGATGATAGTGAGAGGAAGTGGCTGGAGTGCAGACCAGAAAAGGGTGGGGGGAGAAATGCCTGAGAGGCAGGCATAGAGGCAG